GTTGAACTTGACCCTGCGCGTAATCACAACAGCGGCTTGTTGTCCCCACGGTGCTGTTGGCGTCACTGCCATACGGGTACGCCAAATGCGGCACGCTATGGGAGACAATCCCACTTCGACACCAGCTGCGTCCAACGCTTCCATGACGTCGCGCATGACAACGGTCACGTCCGAACCAGAGTTCAAATGCACATCGACCACGCGGACGAAATTCTCCAACAGCACGCCGCGTTCTGCCTTCTATCGCTGCGGCTGGTTGACCATCACCTTGGCGCCGTCCTTCCAGCGCTTCAGTTACGCTGCCAAAAACGTTTCGGCTTCGCCAGGCGCGGTCTTCGGGCGCCGCACTTCAAGCAGCCCTTTTTGGCAGAGGGTCAACATTCTTGGGCACGATCGTTTCGGCCTTTCCGTCGACTCTGCCATTGTTCTTGGCGGCACCTTCCCGGCCGCCTTCACGTATTGGGACTTGAGGATTGCCGCCTCGTGGAGCTTCTACCGGCTTCGCTGCCGGGGAAGGTTTAGACTTGTCGAGTCCAACGTACCGCTGGTGGCTAGCTGCAAATGTTCGCAGCCAGTTGACGTAACGAAACACGTCGCTCTTCAACGCCTTGTCCCGCTGCAACTGCAGCTGATTTTGAACCGCTGTCTTCAGCCACTCCGGCTTGATCGATTTCGTCAGGACTTCGACGACCATCTTGCCTTCTTGATGGAGGCCCACTCCTGATGGTCTTGTTCCAACGAGCGCATCAGCTCGTCCAGCATATGACCGAAGCGACACTGCGTCCAAGATCTTTGTATCGAAGCGAATGGCTCGCTGCAGACGCTGCTTCAAATCGTCCAGGTCTTGAGGGTCTTCCTCAAACGCTGAATTAAACCACGCGACCCACTCATCGTTCGTGATGGAATTGTGGTCGCGGTTGAAACCGAACAGCGTGATCCGGCGCTTCGAGAACGGGACCATGCAGGCACTCACGGGCATCACGAACGGACGCAATCCATTGCACGCAGAGCGTTGATCTACCCCAGATACTTCTGGTACTCGCGCATGAAAGCGCGTCTTTCGGTCGTGGTCGAGCCCAAAAATGTCGGCGGCTGCGGGAAGGTATTTCAAAGAAATCTAAACAATTCACTAGCATGAAGGTCTAAGATTACCACTTATTCTACACATATTTTATAAAATAACAATATAAAGATGTAGTAAAGGTTCACGGGGTCTTTCCGTCTAACTATAGAAAATCCGCATCTTCACGGATAATTCAAATTCACTGAGTTTATGTTGGAGACAGCGGGGATGTCGTTACACCATTCATGCAGGTCGGAACTTACCCGACAAGGAATTTCGCTACCTTAGGACCGTCAGAGTTACGGCCGCCGTTTACTGGGACTTTTATTCAATGCGCAAACATCTCCTATTAATCTTCCAGCACCGGGCAGGTGTCAGACCCTATACGTCATCTTACGATTTAGCAGAGTCCTGTGTTTTTATTAAACAGTCGCAACCCCCAATTCTGTGCCACCTTCTTATTATTTCGTCGATAAACATTTAAATAAAAAAGGTACTCTTTCTCCCGAAGTTACAGAGTCATTTTGCCGAGTTCCTTCAACATAATTATCTCATACACCTTAGTCTACTCGACCTATCCACCTGTGTTAGTTTAGGGTACGGTTTTTTAGTTTTCCGCGGTTATGTACCAAGGTTGGCTTATTTGTCTCAATACCGGCTGCGGGATCGCCGGCGCGTTCCAAACTTGCGTCGCCGTACGGCCGTAACCGCCATCGCTACCCATGCCCGTATCGTCACGGATATCCGACGGGTCGTTGTCGGCTGGCAACGGCACTGAAGCGCCATCTGCTTCAGTCGTTGGTGGGGCAGCAGCTGAGACAAACGCTGCGACAGCTGGTGTTCCTCGGGTTTTAGAAGGGGTGTAAAACCCAACACGTGGCCATTGCCACTCATCGACAGCAGGTGGCTGTCGTCGTCGGGGGGATATCTGAACGGATTCTCAACGGTGCGCCGAGCGGCGCGTCCTCGCGGCTCCTCGATCTAATCATTCTTCGGCGTTCGTTGGCATTTCCTTGTCATAGGAATGTTCGCGTACCATCTCCAACAAATAGCTCAACTGTGAACTAAAGATATCTTTGTTTTGTCTCCCACACCCACATCTTCTTGGCTGTCGGCCATGGGACCTTCGTCAAGGTAGCAAATATAACACTGATATTAGTGAGGTTAAACACGCCGCGAGGCGTCTACTGACTACCATTCACTAAAGTACTCAGTACTTCCACTAAGGTATCGGAACCTTTGACACGGCACTCACACAGCGTGTGTGTGTTAGCAATGCGTCAAACCGACGCTCGACCAAATTGCTCTGCACGCTGCAGAACAGGTATGCCTAGTGAGGATGTAGGTCGCTGTGGTTCCGATTGAAATGGTTGTTATTACTGCATCAGGTAGTGACTTCATTCTCAAATCCTCCACGTTGGCACATGATTGGGAAACTCATGTCTCCAAGTGACATTGGGCGGATGTTAAGTGTTGATCTTAACCCTAACGTTAGCTCTCCTTTTACGACGAGAGCAGTCCCACTACTCGAAGTGAAGGACGATGCCACTCCTTTTTGATGCCAAATAGGGACCTCTGGCCCAAGAAATGTCGGTGGCATCAGTGTCAACACAAATGGCTTTCGTCACCGAAAACAAGGACAAGATTGAAAGAAAACTCATCGCGATCTATTTCGTGAGGGATCTTACCTATCGCAACTGCACATGAACCTTTGGGGATTGCGAATCTGCTAAGTTTGCCGTGGTGACTTGGACATCCCAACGTTATTTGTCGTGCAAAATAACGACGACACGTAACCCCAAAGATTGCGGTCGTTTGCATGGACAATGACTTGCCAACAAAGCTGGAATTCAAAATCTGCCCAAAGCTTGAAGCGAGCTTTGGCAGGAGAAGGAGTACAGTGGGTTGAGAAAGCTGATTTGGCATTCATGGTTTTTCATACGCGTTAGATTATATCTTTGCACATTGATAGTGAACAATCCACGATACTTGTTGTCTTTCGTACCCCTAAGGACTACTACCTAGGTTGTCCAAGATAATGGCTAAAGATACTGCGACGGGCGATTCGCGATGGCTTTTAGTGTAGGGTGAATGAAACTGCCTGTTTAATGCCCATCGAATCGCTAAAGATAGTCTCTCCAACACAGATATCACTTGAAGGCAAAATTGTAGCCCCTCATAATGCAAATTACCGTTTGTCCACTGCACTGGCTTTAGCGACATTATGAAAATCAGGCTCAAAGCAACCGTTAAACACCTGAATGAAACTGAAGCAGCAGCAGTGGCAAGCCTAACGTCGGATAACCCTGCCTGCGCCCTTTCCATTCTCAAATAGTCGGTGTCATCTGAAAGAGTTTTTAGGCTGCATGAAAGTTGATCTAGAGTTTCCTTGATACAGCTTTACGAGGATAGAATTTTAATAACACTGGACATCAAGCACATCGATATTTGGCCGGCTTGAGAGGCATGTGACAGTCGATGCAACGGGGCAGCTGAAGTCGCCGAGCGGGTGATGTTTGCAGAAGAAATGAAGTCATTTTCTGAAGTTTGGGTCACTTGGCAGTGTTCGTATGTTGCAACTAAAACACCATCGCAAAACACGAGCATACTCGTGTTCATTGGCCACGAATTGTTAATAGTGACAGGGGCCTTTGATTTCAAATCGGCGCTTTACGAACGGAGCTAAATTCGATGGCCAATTGGAGGTACTTGACGAAGGAGGAGGAGGCTATTTCTCATGTAGTTTTAGTATTGTAGTGCACGAAATGTGGCTGAAACCCATTCCTTCGCATGACATCATAGGTCTAAGATTACGGGTATACGAGCACTAATCGCAAACGCTGCGCGAGCGATGATAAGAATAAGGAGCAAGTGGAGGTGGACTAAAGAAGGACGCGCATAGGTCGACCCATCGTATGCCTCTCTGGTCGGGATACCTGGTAGTAATATGTTGCGTCCGAAATTCTCCATGATCGTGGCCAGGCCTGAGGAGGGTCTTATCGACTCAGGGATGGACACTGATACTCAGTGCCATATCAGAAGTACCTCCGATTTGATGCTCGCATTTTCAAAGTGCGCCGAAACCAAAAGTTCCCTGTTTCACGTTTGTTAACCTCTACTAGTAACATTTTCTGCACGAATTCACATCCTCACGTGCTGGTTTGGTTTCAAAAATAATCCCGTCGGATTTTCTTCACACCCGTTATTTTGGCTTTCAGATAACGCTACTAAGTTGCCATGGCGACTTCGAACGACTGTAGGAAAATAATAGAAGTGGTGAATTTTGAAACGCAAGAAGAGCGAAGGTTGAGCGCATCATTGTTTCGAACTTGTCCGTTGAAGTCGATAGCCACGACGCATGGAGCAACTCCGAGTGCACGTCGCCGTGTTTGTACTTTACAGTCCGCTAGGGCATCGTGGGGACGAGCAAAGGTTTGGCAGGACGAAATTATTCAATTTCTATGTTTTAAAGTGCACCCGATTTGTCTGCTATTTCTAATGAAGATTATGTCACTGCCAAACTCTGAAACACAATAGATTGCACAATATGATTGAAAAACTGTGAGAATTGAACTAAATTGTACTCATGACGAATAATTACTTGCGAAAAACAGTCATGAAAATTTATATTAATTTCAAGCATTGATAAACCTTTATAACTCAATAGCATACATCGGTCAAAAAGCTGAACATATTACATAAAATCTCCCTTTTTGATCTATTTCTATTATCTATTTCGGTCAATTCATCTCCGACTTTCACCAAATAAGTACCAAAATCTCCGTATTGATTGGCGCTAACGTTTCCTACTGTTTTGAACGCAAAAATTGACGAACTAATGGCGAAATCATACAGTGCACATGAACGCGCGACGATACAACGCATCAAAGCATTCGTCAGGCTGCGCTGACGGCGCAGCCTGACGTTTGACGAGAAGATGGACATACTTTGGCTCCAAGCCACACTCCGGTACACGAATACAGAAGATGTCGCTGGTGTTGTTTCGCAACTGCTCGGACGAGCACGTAAAACTGTCAAAGGCGTCCTGGCCGAGTACCTCGCCACTCACAACCTTTCGGTCGTCCAACCCCCCTCCAACACCACTAAGCATCACTCTCGTGTCCCTGACACCCATGCTGTTCGCGCGCTTGTGCAACGGTTCATCCGTGACCGATGTGTCACCCGTACCCGCACCGTCGCCAAAGACGTCTTGTCGTACCTCGTTGAGAATCATGTCATGGCTGTCGATGACCGCAAGGTCAAGGATTATGCGGCCTGTCTGCGTGCCGTACAGGTATTCTTAGCCAATCAAGGCTATGCATGCGGCAAGCGCACGAGTACGACTGCCTATCGAATGTCCAAGGCACATGAAGAAGCCAGGGATGCATACGTCGGGACCATGGTACCTACTGTGACCATGCCCCTCGTCGTCCGGTGGTCTACCTTGACGAAAGCTTCATCCATCACCACTACAGTCGCCACAGTGACAGCCTGTACGCCCCGACCGACGACGTCACCACCAAGCCAAAACACAAGGGCCGCCGATACTGCTTCATTGCCGGTATTCTTGATGAAGGATCGGATGTGTCGCACCTCCTCGGGCTGGACATCTTTGTTGGCGGGAAGAAGAACAGCAAGGTGGTCAAAGCCTACCATTCCATGTTCAACCATGACGATTTTGTGCACTGGTTCAGAAAGCTGCTGGAAGAAGTCGAGGAGTTGGGGTGGTCTTCGGCCGTGTTTGTCATGGACAATGCCAAGTACCACAAGGGGAAGCCAAAGTCAACTCCCAAGGGAACGTGGAGGAAGAGCGACCTGTATATCAAGCTTGCGTCGACAACACGCTGACAGACGTCGCCCCTACTGACCTAAAGCCCGCGATTTGGAAGACGCTGAAGAAAAACCTGGACGAGCATGTCCTACCTGTTGTTGTTGCCATGGCACAGGCTCGGGGCCATCATGTTGTCTACGCTGCGCCTGGTTTCTCGGAGCTCCAGCCTATCGAAATGGTGTGGTCGAACGTCAAGGAAACAGTCGGACGCGCATATACCTCGACCACGACCTTCAGGATGTTCTCGACCGCCTTGAACAGGATATGAATCCTAACTGTTAATATTGCCCTCTCGCAGAGTCCATTTGATTGGGCTCACTCGGGGGGGGTGTTGTTTTTTTTACAGTGATTTCCCCATGCGGATATTCATCCGAAACGTGGGTCCTCTTCATCCGGACAAGTCCCCGCTACCGCGTCGATTGGACTCACAGTGGAACATACTTAACAAGGGAATAAAATGTTCGATATATTTCATGTTGAATCCATACAGACCCTAAGACAAAAGACATATTAATCAAGTATAACGAGCATGCTTTTATAAACTTTCCTACACCAAGGGAAGTCAACCAGTTAGCAATGGTTGGCGCTCGGGATCGAAGTGAACCATCATCCCAGGACTACCGAAGCACCTGGAGCGACTGTGCCGCTTTAAATACCCCCTTCCCGACAGCCCTGCTCCGATGTGCTACGTCCAACGTAACAACATCTTAACGCACTGGAACCGTCATCATGGTGTTGGCGAGGACGTAGACTCGGACTGGAACTTCCTCACTGAGGAGCAGTATATTGACTTTGTCAGTGTGCACAGAGGTGATATTGCCCCAGGACATCCCGAGTTTGTTATGACCTCTACTGGTTCTAACATATATTACGTCTTAACCGAAACTGGGGTTTCCGACGGCGATGCGGTTTTGTCCATACTGGCGTACTAGTGCGAAAAAGCCAATGGCGATTTGCGCACGATTGTGAAAGGGCGTGTCCAAGATAGTGATGACGGCAACACTGAGAACCAAGGGATTGAGGAAGACGAAACGGCCGACACTGCGCAACCATCCCCTCCTCCGGCGCCGACCGCAGCGTCGAAGAAGCCTACCCGCAAGCGTCCTCGTCGCAATTAGTTTAACTAGTTCCAACTAGGGATATTCTAGCTAATACTTCACTCTTTTTTCAGAACTCGTTAACTATAAACTTACAAAAATGTGTTAACACTTCTCTTGAACTCGTTTTTTGGCACTTGTGAAATTAGTGTTCGAATTTACCTCGTTCAACCTAACTTCTTTTTCCGCGACTAGTTTGACCTAATGGTGCTTGTAGAACTAGTTCCAACTCGTCTAACCTATTTTTGCGCCTACGATTAGGTACTGTACATGTCCCTAGTATTTATACAATAAGTTAAAACACGGAATACATGTATTTTTATATGCTTGGGGCATAGAACATCGTATTTGCATTGCTCTCTGTGTTCGTCAATTCGGGCTTTCTTTTGTTAGACGCTTCGAATGATGTCTTTTCTGGCTCCATCAACTTCGTCAAGCGGTCAAGCTTCTTGGGGTTCCACTCGACGTCTCGAGCATGTATAATGATCCAGCTGGCGCATTCGGCAATTCGTGTAGCATCGACTTTGCTGCGTTTGAGGTGTGCTTTGTCGCGGGCATCCAGGATGGTAGAAATATCCTCCGAGATTGCAGTTGGCCCTATTGCTCCATATTCCTCGCCTGTTGGACCGAGTTGCCCGTTGGCAGCTTTCGTGGCTTCGATTTCTTGATACTCCAACTTCGACGTAGGAAATACAACGGGGGTGTCAACAACGCCAGAGAATATGCAAGGATATACTTTTAGATAGGATAGAGTTGTAAGACTCTGAGTGTACGCAATAACACCGACATTGATTATTGCTCACCGGATGAATTCAGTATTGTATAAAAGACACGGTGGAATTGGCACGTCATATCTTGGGTACTACGATGAATCATGTGGTCCACAAACCAGCCAATCAACGACGAGATCACCAGCTTTCTATTCCACCAATCAGAAGCAATAACGAACAAGATTTAGGAAAACGCCGAAAGTTTGAAAACAATTGGACTAAGATTTCGGACCAGAGTGGTACTAAATATGTATCTTCAGAGGTACTATGCTTACAAGTTAGAGTCACTGTCACTGGTGTCCGATGATGAACATGTGGTGGTTGATCCTTCATCTTCACCGTAGTTAGCAAGAAGCAAGTCGTACAGGTCTGTAACAAGCTTCTCACAGCGTTGAATACAATTCCATATGACGACAGGTGGAAGTTGTGCAAACGCCACGTCCAAACGAGAGCGCACATCGGCAAACGTAGTGTCCACGGTATACTGCACGCCGACGTCACCCTTTACTTTTGCCCACACCATTTCGATAGGTTGCAGGTCCGAATGGTGGGGCGGGGTAAAGACAACATCGTGTCCTCGAGCACGAGCCATGGAAACAACGACCGGGAGGACGCGAGCAGCCACCACAGGTTTGAGTCGGCTCCATATCGTACTCTTCAAATCACGAGCTTCCACGTCAGCCCCGTAGAGTTGGCAGGCAGCCAACAAGTCGACATTTCGCCACGAGCCCCGCGGCGTGTCATCGGGAAGTCCATTGTGCTACTTTGCATTGTCCATGACAAACACGACTCCTGTCTGTCCTAGCGCCTCGACACAGTCCATTGCGCGCTCCAGCCATTTCACGAAGTACGTGTGATTAAACATTGCATGGTAGTGCTTTGGATCGTCTTTGGACTTTTTCCCACCCTCGAATATGTCTAGCGCGACGACAGTCGAATCTGCCCCACTTGCCCGACCAGCCATAATGCCGGCAATGAAACACATGCGGCGACCTTTGTGTTTCTCCTTGAGAGGAGCGTCATCCGTGGGGTCGAACAGGCTGTCTTGGTGGCACGTGTAGTGATGGTGAATGTAACTTTCGTCCATATATACCACCGGTGTGTTCGCGTCGAGATTGTTTATCTTTTGTACGTAAATGTCCCGGGCAGCAGCATGTGCACTAGAGACACTGTACGTGGCTTTGCCACGACGCTTGCCGCGTTTGAAGCCGAGCTTCTCCAAGTAGATTTGGACAATTCGGAGGCAACTTGCTGAGCTTCCGCAGTCCTGGGTGTTGCACTGGATTACTCCTGCTTCGACAAGAAGAGCCATAACGTCCTTGGTGACAGTGCGGACACATGTCAGGCTGCGTTGGCGTATGTATTGTCGCACCATCGATGAAATTGCATGCGTGAGAGGTATGCGAGTTGGACGTTGTTGTGTGTTTGAGGGTGGAAGGACAGCAACAACAGCATTGGTACGCATATAGGTTGACCAAACTTCTTGCACTGTTCTTGAGACTTGTGGAGCATTGTCGCGACGAAGTTGAGCATGAAGACGGAGAATATCCAAACGCTCTTCTTTAGTTAGACTTCTAGGCCGCTCCGTACGGATGTAATTCGTGATGTCTCCGTAGTCTTCTTCACTGATGCCGGACATGGTGTAGCTGTGGATGGAGTGTGAAATGGTTGGCAATGCAAGCTCTTACAAAGTATCAATCTATGGAGGTTGTCCCATGGTGGTCTATTTTATATAAATGATACCTTGCAATTTTTTTAATTAAATTGGAGAGGTTATGTATTGTCACTGTCAAATATGGGTTGATTCTGACTTTGTTCGTAACATATCTCGTAGGATATCTACTTTCAGAGACTTCAACCAATGAATGTTTTTTTTATCACAACAAGTTCTGAGCACATACAAAATTTCACTGAAAACTACATTCTGGACCTTGGGTTACGTATACTTATTCCCTCGATGCCTTCGACCACTGTGAATCCATTTCTCAAAATGACTGCAGTCAGTACAATTGACACCACTACAAATATTTTCTTTAATTTTAATAAATATTTGCTTTAATTTATAATTATATATTTTGTTTCTTCTCTTTTGCAGTACAGTGGTACGCAGTCCTATATTCCGACGAACCTTGTCGGAATGGAATCTGAAATATCCTGGTCTCACATACAAATTTGATGCAGTGATAGTTCACCAAATAGTTCGACATATTCCGACATTTCGGCAGTTCCTCCTAATCAGGTTTGCTAAATATAGGAATTCGATATCCGTCATAAGGAGGCCGCTGCTCGTTGTAGTTATGTTTACACGTGAGTAAGTGGCATTGCACCTTAGTTCACGTTACCCTCACCATAGCTACGAAAGACTTACCCTACGGACGCAGTAGGTCTTCAGGTGTATATGTGAGCCCCTACGCTTTCACAGTACCCTTCCTACTTAGGAGTATCCAATAGAATCGTTGTCGGAATGGGGTGTCGGAATGAGTATCTTGTCGGAATATTCATGCTATCGACGTAGTAACTGGCACTATCCGGAGGAGGCTGCGGGAAATCACGAATACATGCTGGTACCGGTACAGGGAGATGCGGGAACTGGAGAGAAAAACTCATCATAACACGAAGTTATGGATGGCCAAAATCGAGGCATTCATGGTTGGCGAAGCAATATCTAGACTTTCTTCGCAGTCATCCAACATATTGGAGAGTGACATTGGCTGCTGTACTGACACGCTTTATATCGCTCTCTGCAAGTGTGGTGCTTGTATTCAGAAACTTCGCGCCATTTCGCCATGAAAACTGAGCAGTTCCGGATATTTCATTACTTTTGCGGATGCAAATATTTTTTTGCGCATGTCCATGATTAAAGGCCAAATACTTCAAATCTGACGAAACTACGATAGCAATGAAATTGACCCATCCGATTAGCTATTTCCTTGGACCTTGAATTCGACAGTGATCACGTCTTCGTTCGCCAACCCACGACCTATCGCAAACTTGAAATGATGAGTAACCACAGGGTAGCGAAGCTCAATATGCTGCATTGTCAATGGTACCTCACCATGGCTTGGTCGACTGCGTTCAAATGCAAACGCAAATGCGCTGATCTTCGCATACGTCTTGAACTTCGATGTTGATGTTTCAAGCTCCTGGGTAAGCTTTGACTCTTACAGACCGGGGGGGCACTCGTAGGTTACAATTGCTGTGGTGAGCATCAGGGCGAACTTCGATGACGCATGATTTCAATCCCCTCATCAAGAACACTGCTACTCCGACATACTGCTGGTCTAAATCAATGTCGATGTAGTGATATACAAGGTATCCTGGATTATCCAAAGTTCGATTGGTGGTGCCATTTGAGCTTGTATCATCAATGGCTGACGCCAACCGCTTTCCTCTGCCAAGCTGAGGAATGCTGCTGTCGTGTCGTCGTTCGCGAAACATTTCGAGTTGTCTTCCCGCGATTGGCTGTGGTTTCCAACTCTATTGTTAAGCATGAGGTTGAGGAACATAACCCATTTTGGCTTTCCGAAGTTGCAGATTGAATTCCGCGTCAATGTACTGACTGAAGATTTCTGGTGCGAGCTCTCGTACGTGTGCTGGTGAGCTTGCCGGGTGGATCTTGTCCTCGTAAAGGCGTCCGTTCGGCGTCGCAGTCACTTGTCCACTTCTTGGCCATTTGTCGAATGCGATTTGTGCGCACAAGAAATGAGGATATCGAACCTAATAGGGAAGATTAAAAATTCCACCTTAAGTTCGGTATATCGACTGCATTTCAAACATAAAATTACTCCAATTTTTTGTTTACATACTAGTAATATAAACTAATGTAATCTGAAAATCGTCAACTTTGACAAAAAAACTATCGTAACGTGTTCCAGATGCCTTGAAACTTTGTGGGTCCACGTAGTTCTCCATGTTTTCAATGAATATATGCTGAGATGGTTAAATTTCATATTGGCACGGTGGTTATCGCAGGTCAAACATTGAAGTTTTGCAGGTTTCGTCAATGTTCAACCTAAAAAAAACTAGTAGGATCACTCAAAAGTTCACATTCTTGAACCTTCTTTGATAAACTATTTCCAATGTGGTTCTCCCCCTACAGTTAACATTATGTTGTGCTCTCGGTTGGGTCACCATGCCGTGGCGGCTCTGGTGCGCCAAAACGGTAGCGCAACCACGTGATCACACCGGCAGGGAGGTGTACGGTACCGACACGGGCTGGTTGGTGAAATGAGGGATGACCACATTCATTGG